TCTAAAAATAGGAAAATCCACTACTTTCTGTTGTAATGTCAAAATGATAATGTTAACCAAGTTAGGTCAAATAACTCAAGTATAGGGATACACAGTTTTGTACTAGACACCTTGGAAGTGCAAAATGTGCACCCCAATTTCGAAAACACTCAATCCAAAGGTCATAAATATATGATTGGATTTGAGGATAATAAGCATGAGAAATTATCTTGGTGTCTTGCATTGATTCGGTTTACAGGTGAAACTACACCTCTCACAGTCTCTATAAACAACCTTCTCTCTATCACGTAAAATTAATCTCTCTACTCATATTGATTGATGTCTAATCGATTCAACAAGTTCATGGATGAATACAGATTGTTATGAATATGACACCTAGAGTTCCTTGAAAGCGTAATCGTTTTCATCGCATACCTGACTGACTGACTAACTGAAATTTTATTAGTATATTTCAATTCACTAAGATGGTATCTCCAAATAAAATACTTAATTTTTCTCATCAGTTAAAACACCTAAGTTTAAAAGAGTGACTTCAACTTCAGAAAAATAGAATGACCTGGTAAGAAAACAGAAGTCTTTATAAACTCTGTTGCTATAGTCGGTTGCAAATAAACCTTATGCTTCTGTAGGTAAAATAGTGTAAAATGGTATCACTTTTATAGTAACATGGATTCTTCAAAAGTCTCATCAAATTGCTTATCATTTTGGAGCCTATATACTGATTGTCGTAAACACAATTCTGTTATTTAGGCATGAACTGTTGGTGAACATGGTAACAAGATATGACTACATTATCCCACATAATTTTGATTTACAGTAGCCAAAAGGGAGTGTCCTCCATCACTTTCGTACACGCTAAGCATGGTAACATCAGAAAGTTTCCAGGCCCCGAACACTACCTTCATTGAAGCTGTTATTTCACAGAAAAAGAAACAAGTTCAGTTTTGTAGCGGAATTGCGGATATCTATAATGTACTGTCAATATATATCTGGTAAATTAGATTAACACAGTATGTGACGGTTCCATATTTTCAGCCTGAAAGCATCGGGATGGAAACCCAGTGGTCGCTGGCTCGAATCCGGCCGGGATCCAAATTTTCATCTTATCTTCAATCATTATCCAGTATAAATACTAGTCTGCCAAACTGTGGCTACCCCCAATAGTCAAAAGATAAAGATATAAGCAAACAAAAAGGCTGAATAAAGTTCTGACGAGAAAGTGTCGCCGATACAAGGAGCTGTAAACACTAAACGTAGTAGCCGTTCCTCATTAGTTTTGACTTATTGTTAGTGTCTGCCCTCAACGATTCTGTCTAATCAATGACAGAATCACCAAGCTTTGTATTCGAAATATTTCACTTCCGATGGCTGAGCTGGTTAGGAAAATGATAGTTGTAATATAAATTAACATGTTATCAACTGTCTGGCTGTCACACCACCTTTCGGTTATGAGTTGAAATGCAGAAAGATTTAAAGGCTGACAATACTTGCGACTTCCAAATTAGATTGTCTTGATCAATATGTCAGTGAGTTACAAACTGTCTTCTCTGCACGATTAGTAGCCATCTACCTGAATCCAAACGGTAGCGAAGCCGAGACAGCTCATTTCCAGGTATCTTTGCTTAAAATAACCTGTACACTAGACGAAGTTTAGAAGTTAAATAAAGTTCCACCAGACTGATATCAGTGCTGAAGATTCCGGTTGATAAGAAAGTGGCTAAATGCCTTTATAATCACCGTTCAGTAACCAACATAGCCAACAAAGCTACTGAAATCGTAGGATCCATAGTAACTCAATACCTAACTACAGTTTAGCAAAAGCAACCTTGGGAAGTTTTAACAAAATAAAGAATGGGGTTTGCAAATAAAAATTTCCCTGTTGCTTTTACTAACCCTCGTTTATGAAGGAGTCTTCTGTAAGTTTATGACTGCGAAGGAAGCACCCAGTTATTCATTCATACCACGAAAGACTGTACTCAAATTCATGCAGCTGTGCATAGACTTGTACAAGGATGTTACCTGGTGTAATGATAGTCACCAATATTCGACAGAGAATCGCATAATGTCAACCCATGCTTAACTTTGAGGTTAACACAAAAATTGGACTTTGAAGTTATTTGAACATATTGTTCACCTCAGACGAACCCTGGTTGATCTGTAGTACACAAACAATAAGATCCTGATAGCGGAAAGTTCTAAAAACGACGTGATATTCTGAATAAGTTGGGCATCGGTTTGTGCACGCCACATTTGACTTTGTGTCTGACAAAGGTAGGATGACACTGCAGAATTGATTCGAGAGAAAGCATAGTCAAAACTTAAGGAATAAAACAGTGAGACGAACTGGGCATTTGAGCAATCTTAGAGGCTGAATCCAATGTAATCATCCACTTCTTGCCAAATCCTTAACAATAATACCGAGGGTTCATCTGGCACTGGGCGTATTCGTCTCTTTATGATTCTGGAGAGACATCCAGTTACTTAGAAAGGAGAGTACACACTGGGTAGCATTCCGTCCTGTTCCCCTCTAAAGCTGCCAGATATGACTGTTAAGAATGGACAACACAAAAGGGCTGTATCTTCTGTTACAGGCTTCTCAGTAAATTACCTTCGCACTATAGTCCCATAAAGTGAGCAGTGTTGATGTCAGCCGTACAGTATCAAGGAAGGAAGGTAGGTCAGATGGCCAGGTTGTAGAGCTAAGTCAACTCAGATGGGTGTAGCGTGTTGAACATGACAAGCTACTGTCTATCCTGATGCACAAAACTGACACAAGTAGGATTAGGCTGAAGGTATGTTAAATGAAGCAAGTCTAACATGCAACACTCATCTGTGAAGTCAGAGACTAGTAGTCTCAACAACTTTGACGCGTCCTAAGTTGTATGTCTGCCTTTAGTTTGAGGATACCAGCCATCACTTAGTTATCGCGCATCTAAGCAGGATTCATACTACACATTGGTACCTGAATTGCCTTACCTATTTGTATTGTCTACTAACGCATCAGAAGTAATCATTGGTTTGAATCCCGTCTGACATCAAGCAACCTCATACTACCATTCGGTTATAAACTCCACGAAATGAGAAATGTACAACACAGAGCACTTCCAGTGTTTTGTGAAATGATAGTACGATATTGTGCCATTGAAAGCTTACCAATGCTGTACCAACAGGATAGCAATATGTTTTCTACCTAACTAGTGCCCAAAGCACCGAAGTCCCAACAGAACAGAAATCATGCACACACTGTCGTTGATTTAAATCAAATGTTCATTTTTTGATAGATGGCCTAAAGTTTAAGACAAACGCGTGCATTGCCATACATTAATTCATTCTATAATCCTGACCTACATTCGATCAAGCATTTGAAGACTAACCTGGTTTTCACTGTTAGCTACCAATAAACTCACTCTATGCCTTGGTGAATGTTTGGAATTATATACATATACGCTGCATGACCTAAAGCATCTCGAGGAAAGATACCAATTTATTTAATAAGCTGCTGAAAACCGGTAGGGTGTAATCCCGGTTCCCGTAAATAAAATTGAATTATACGTCTCGGAAAATAATGATAATTTTGCGACGATTTTATCAGACGGTACTGTTTGCAAAGATCCATTGATATTTCCTGCAAATCTAGAGTCTAGTTTGAAGGCACCTCGGTTTATTTCCTCAGGGACTCAAAAGATAAGAGCATTTAGAAGCATGTTGACTAACAGAAGACATACATCCCCAGTCCCGTCAACAACTCTCCACAGAAACTTGAGATAGGTGTTCTTCTGGAATACGGACAGGACTTGAGTGCTAGTCTGAAGGTGTTGTAATTAGACACCATCTGCATTGCGTCTTCACTCGCCTCAGAGTTTGTATTCAAACCAACTGATAATCCGCTGCAGGAAAAAGACACTTCAAGGCTTCTACTTCCTTTGGAGCTACTTGGAACCAGCTGACGTCAACCTTGGTTGTGAAACCAAATGTCACCATTCCAGGTAGGTCCTGTGATTGGGAGATCTTGCAGCGCACCTTCTAGGCACCAAAATAATGCTAGGCTTAAAATAAATAAATAAGCATTTAAAAATCCAAATGGTAGCTAAATAACTGACGAGTGACTTTAGTCCTCCAAGTATTTTGTTAGCGCATAGGCATCCGTCCGTTGACGTCGACTTTTTCGCCTCTTCTTTGTTCTGGTCGGCAGCAACTGGCTTAGAGTCCCTAGCTTAGCCACTAACAGACAGATAAGTTGGCATTATTCCCTGCATATAGCTTCTCTACCTCTGACTAATAAACAGATTGTTCGTCCAAGTGCTTTCGACCATACGTGTTGTCCGATTCCTTTTTTGTTATCAGTACTTACATAAGAGTGAGGTACTGAATAGTTGAGTACTAGCACACATTAATTTATGTAAGACTGGTCAAGCGTTAGGCAGTAGTAACACAAAGCGACCCAACTTATAATCTGATCAAAAAGATGCGTTATCACCGATAATTTTAGACCTCACAGAAGCACATTCAGGTAATCACTATCCGAATTACTTCCAATTTATTTATTTATGCAATACTCATGAGTTGTAAGCCATTATGGTAATAAATATTGCTTCATAATGAAAACTAGCCTTAAGTTTGAGCAACAGCCAACCGGTGTTTTATTATGAATGACTACGCGTTTTACTGTGATCACTTTGGTGAAATCAGAATTAGTCGGCAAATAGTATAAAAAGCCTCAAATGTTAGTTGATACATAAGATGAGCCCATCAAATGCATATGAAAACAAACCAACAACTATAAATATGGTTGAGTAACTCACTTTCCAAAACACACGAAGACATTTACGAATTGACAAATTTGATGGCAATATTCTGGTGCATTTCACTTGGCTAACCAATTTATCTGCTTGACAGAACCGCAGCAAAACTAAGCTTCCCCATGTTTCTGGATTTTATTGTCGACTTCGTCTTAAACTCACTTTCTTTGATATTTCGTCAAATAACAACTACTTACCAACTTATGTATTTGTTTCGTGAGGTGGTTGGTCTAAACAGCAAGTGAATGCGCCATAATATGCTAAAGCCTTAAAGATGGTCGGTAGGATGAACCGGATACTGGCCGGCTTGCTACGAACAGTTCACAATGAAAAATGTTTCAAGATACTTGACCTTTCTGATTCCAGGACAAGTAAACCATTAGTTGTAAGATCCCACTGTAGAAGGCACTCAAGGTCGATTGAAGGCAGATACTAATAAGAAGCTGTGATAATCCTTCCCCAACTTATTCGTCTGCTTGCCCAGTGCTGTCTCCTAGGAAAAAATTGGATGCCAATTCCATCATCCAGTTCATATACTTTAACCAATATTTATTGATATATACATACATGAAAGTGGGTATCTGTTAATAGTATCATTCTTCGCTATGTGGCAATAAAGACCGGTAGTTCAGTTTAGTTTTCAAACTCGCTGGAAGGTAAGGCTGAATGATTGTTATGGCAACCTTGTAAGTAGCTAAATTGTCCTAGAAACGGAACTTTTAGGAAACTTAGTCAGATAGGCGGTGTTATTCGAGGTTGGCTTGCCATTCTTTGTCACCGCATTACTTTCTTCTGCTGAAATGGCCCTTGATTCTTGTTTTCGTGCAGTTTCTTGATTTTTACCGGATTGCTTATTCGCAGTATTTGAAGCATTTTTTGGTGCTGGTTTATCCGTCCGGAAACTGTAGGTTATAGATATTACAACGTCTTACCGTGTACACTTGTAGTTTCCGTGAGTGGTCCTACACATACTGATTATTCCTTTCCTCACTTTTTTCGAAATGCGTTCATCGTTGGAATTTCTGTATAGGAAGTGAAGGTCTTGACTCATGTACTCTAAGCCATTGGATAAATATCGATCCGGACTTTTCATGAATCCTAGTAAAATATTGGAAGTCAGTGGCAAATTTCTTGTATTCATGTTTCTGGTCGAACGACATCTATATGAGTGATAATTCACGTGATTCATGTAAACCGATAACTATTTTCGAATACCGACAACTTACACACTCAACGTTCAACATGTGTTCAGTCAGTTCCAATCCAATGTCCAATAAAGTTTTACCACGTTGTACACGCCAACTGATTTCCTTCCGCTCGCTTCTGGGCCTAACAGAATGGTTTCAGGCCTCTAGTAGATTCCAATGCAGTGGGTTCTTATACACACCCGCTGATACTTCTGTGAACCCGATTTAAGTTTTAGTGCTGGTTAAGTTTGCAGGGAAGTGTACGATTTATCCTTCGGCTGCAGTGCTGATGGATTCCTCGGATATCATGCCACCAGACAGCTGCTCCTGGTGGCCGATGTGAAAAAACGATCAGAACTCAAGTAGAGGAAATGTAAGAAGTTTAAGGGCAAATAAGTAGGGAGAAAGGAATTGAATGGGATAATTGAAGTACATTCAGGGTGAACGGGCAGTGTAGCAGTTACATGGACAACGTAATTGGATGAAGTCAATCAGAATAGTGTTAGAGAGAGTCAAATGAGCCGAGAAAATTTTGACGACAATAACAGAAGCGGAAGCAATAGTGAGAATGAAATTGAGTTGGCAACCGGAAACAACACGTTTAATGGGGGATTGGAAGTTTCAGTCGTGCATGTAATAATAGCCGCAGTGAAAGTAAACAGCGATGAAGGCAGCAGACAGTGTTGAGTGGATATGGAGCCAGTTGCTTGCTTTGGTCTGGTTCGAACCCCCACCGAATGGAGACAACTGTGCGTTACTTTGTAGCTGCCAAAACGTTTCTTGAGACTATGGACACATAGAGCAGTCTTCAACTCAACAGGCAATAGGTTCCGGTGGCGTCAGGCTCAGAGGGAGTGTGGCTGCATACGGGTTTTATCCCTTTCGTAGGCGATCCTTTGGCTTTGATTTTGGGCGAGGTTCACCGTAGTGGCTTACAGGTAACATTCCCCTGTTTAGATTAATTGTATCACTGAATGCCTTGCAGCCTGTCAGCAAGTCATCACGCATTCTACGGCTAACTGGGAGTTTAAAGACCTATATCTTTCAGTGAACCCTGGTGTGCTTTTTGCAGCATTCCTACATCATTCTTTTAACGGTGTTGATTCTGAGCTTTCTCCAGAAGCCTTGCGTCTCTTTTCAGGCGCGATGGTGCTCACCGTTGTCGGCTTATGGGTGACGTTGTACGGGTTCAAGGTAAAGCTCAAAATAAGACTCTAGTGTGAGGGCACCTGTTTCCCTACCCACGAGGCGTGCTGCTGTGCAGGCCTTGGAGGCGTCTCGTGAGCAACTGGAGCTGATTTCAAAATTGTCAGCCGACATGAAGCCCGAATCCTTCCTTGCGGTTGTAAGAGAAGGGTGAACGCCACGAAATGAGCAAGGTAACTTCTGTGTTTCTGTCGCTTTGAGATTTCCTGGCCCTTTGTGTAGAGTAGAAACAGCAAATGACTGGGATGCGCCGTTTGTCACACAATGGGCCGTAATGTCCTCAGAGATGAGTATACCTTACTGATTTTTGTGTTGAACTCCCTATGGTTGAGGTAACCCTCCAATCAAGATGGCCCCTGGGCACTGATTTGCAGTTACAAGGCTTTCTGGAGTTTCTAGGATGTCGAGTTAATGCTACGGGCTGTCTATAATGGCGAAGTTCTCTGACTCTGCAGCTGGGAACCTTAGTCGGGAAGACCTCACGTCTTTATATGTTTTCCTCACAGGTTGTAAGCGGGGTCGAAATGCCAGTCTGTGCCAGAAGATCGTCACTGAAACCCACAGGGAAGCTGAGCAAAATGGTAGGGAGGCTGGCAACATTATAAACATCGACCACGTACTGGGAGTTAATGCACATGTTCAAGCTGATCTTGGCGATGGCGATCATTTTGTTAGCACCAAAGTCCAAGTATTTGGGTATGAACCGAGGAAACAGTTCGATGAAACCGGGTAACTCGGTTCAGATAAGTTACCTCGTTCTTCTCTTTGGTTTCCCAAGCTCCCTTGGTTTTCGCACAGTCGAAGATTACACTTCAGCAATATCAAAACACCATCTGACTTGATGAATTTGTGGTTTTATTCGACAGTTGCATTAAAATTACGAAGCACCTCGGTAGTCCCAACTGGTAGCTATGAAGTCCAACGAGTCCCCTGACACAGAATGCTTACTACTAAATGCAACTGTTAAGCACCCGAGGATCGGCAAACTTCTCATGTAAACAGTCAAAAGATGTGAAGCTGCTTCACTGAGCAGCCCCGAGCTGATCCAGACAAAACGTCGGGAACGGTAACACGTCGCCATGATGTCGATATCCCAGCAACACACAACAACAAAGTGGAGCACTAGGGGTAAATTTTGACCAAAACAAGGACAAATTGTGAATGTTAGGCGGAAGTAGATGGGCGAATGACAAAATAATATTGCACGGGCCACGAGTGACGGACAATACCTACAAAAAGAGCATAAACATTCAAATCAGTATCATTACTGTCAAATAGGCTGCTCAGGAGAAATTTTAAAACAACCTGTTCTGTTTCGCCTTCCATGGCGATGTTCGACCTGACGATCAGAAAACGACTGTCGTTAGGGCTGTTTTGGTCTTGTCTCACCCAAAGCATAACAGTCTACATGGTGATTAACTAAGGTCTGTCGATAACCTCATAGCCTCTAGAGTAGAGTTTCTAATTGACCGATTATTACAGGAAGCCAGTGTAACAGACAAAATCCAATAATCTTGGCCTGAAAGCGGGGAATAACTAGGCGGAGCCAACTAACGCCAATCTGGCTAGTTCCTGCGTTCCACTGTACGGCTTCCGAACTTCCGGATTCGTAACAAAATCTGTGGTACTACCAAAGCAACAATAAATTATATCAAAATTACAAAAATACCTCAAAACTGCCGTTGGGTAACTATACGGTCCAGACGTTCTCGGGCGCAAGGCGTACTGGTTAAACAAATACAATTGTTAAGTACCTGAGAGCCAATAAGGATATTCCCGACAAAAGGGATCAAAACTCTGTCTATCAGAAAACGTTTCCAGTAGGCATTCAGAGGACAAACGGTCAAGTCACAACACAACCGTAAGTTGAACCAGAACAAATGTCGGGTGCAGTCGGACGACGTCGCGTTGTCAACAGTCCAGAGTCACATAATAAGAAAGTGAAACATTCACGATAAGTCTGAATCATACAAAGAGAAATACTGAGAGCGAAGTCAAGGAAGACAGTCAAGCGACGAAATAACATCACACCGGCCAGGGCCAAATGCACACCTTGCATAACGAGGGTAAAAACATTCAAATAAATGTCAACACTGTCAAATAGGGTGATCAGGAGGGAGTTTCAGATCATTATTCCGCTATGGCTGGTAGGGAAATCTATCATCAGCGTCACCAAGGAGTATTTCTCTTTCTTGGTAACGTCACCCAAACATGGCCGAAGCGAGGCAGTCAGCTTGTTTCGCTGGTCAACAGAAAAGGATGGCGCAGATTGATGCTGCACAGAAAGAAGTCGGATCAATGGGCGCATACCGCCTTTACGGATCGATAAAGCACAAAAGCCCTGGAGGCCGGAAGTAGTTCCAGACCATGATTATCCGCAGAACCGAGGCAAACTGCATGAGCCTATCATGACTCCAAGCGAACAGGAAACCTTCTATCCAAGGAGCACGTTTCACCAAAGGTGTGAGTGGAGAAACCTCTTGGTACTGGATGTTGTAGGAACCGGTAGCACTATGTTTGGCACAGTTCAATACCACGTCAGTCAGTTGTGCTTACTGGCGGCCTGAAGAGCCTGTGATACCGTCCAAGGTAGAAAAGACGATGATTCCGAATAACGGTGGTTATGGTTCTTTCAAGCTGGCAAAGCTTCATACAGGAAAATCTGCAGTGCTGCAACACTCCACTCCTTGGATAAGTACCGATTCCCACAGGAATCGAAAATTGCTTTCTATGTCAGGTCTTCAATGCAGAACAAGAGTAGAATCTGAAGTGCTAAAGACCTGCAACACCATCGCCAGTGATGTCAAAGTAGCGTTAAGTCAGAGAGGTGTTCACATCACAGGAATCTTGAACAGAAACAGCGTTCTCAGAAAGGTTACACACGGCTTCCACAAGCGTGAGTCGCATAACCGCAAATTTCTGGCGACTCATGAACGGGATTCAACTATACCCAGTCACCCGTTCCGTTGATTTTTGTTCATCTCACCGCGGAATTCGGTGAAATGGCACAAGTGATCTTACCACGAAGTCTTATGGCTGGGCATCAGTGCCCAGGGGCCATCTTGATAGGAGGGTTACCTCAACCATAGGGAGTTCAACACAAAAATCAGTAAGGTATACTCATCTCTGAGGACATTACGGCCCATTGTGTGACAAACGGCGCATCCCAGTCATTTGCTGTTTCTACTCTACACAAAGGGCCAGGAAATCTCAAAGCGACAGAAACACAGAAGTTACCTTGCTCATTTCGTGGCGTTCACCCTTCTCTTACAACCGCAAGGAAGGATTCGGGCTTCATGTCGGCTGACAATTTTGAAATCAGCTCCAGTTGCTCACGAGACGCCTCTAAGGCCTGCACAGCAGCACGCCTCGTGGGTAGGGAAACAGGTGCCCTCACACTAGAGTCTTATTTTGAGCTTTACCTTGAACCCGTACAACGTCACCCATAAGCCGACAACGGTGAGCACCATCGCGCCTGAAAAGAGACGCAAGGCTTCTGGAGAAAGCTTAGAATCAACACCGTTAAAAGAATGATGTAGGAATGCTGCAAAAAGCACACCAGGGTTCACTGAAAGATATAGGTCTTTAAACTCCCAGTTACCGTAGAATGCGTGATGACTTGCTGACAGGCTGCAAGGCATTCAGTGATACAATTAATCTAAACAGGGGAATGTTACCTGTAAGCCACTACGGTGAACCTCGCCCAAAATCAAAGCCAAAGGATCGCCTACGAAAGGGATAAAACCCGTATGCAGCCACACTCCCTCTGAGCCTGACGCCACCGGAACCTATTGCC